CATATCATGCAGGATCATGCAGGATTATATGCCTGAACAGCATCCTGGAGATTTAAGTGTTATCAAGTCTACAGGTAATTATTTTGACATTCTTTAATTCTGGGTGATTTTTCTCAGTTTAATGTTGATCGTGTGTTAAAAAATAGTGTGCATAAAGACTGCAGGTCATAAAAAGGGATCGGGAGGTCTTTTCTTTTCACTGATCAGTATTTGAACTGGTCTCATCTCCTTACAGGTAATTCTTCATCAAGCTAAATTCAGATAAACAATTTATTTTGTTGTTATATTAATGAATGATCATCTCACCTTATGAGCTTTATAAACCTTTAATCTACTTTCTCTTTAGCTTTAATTGTTATATCCTCTAACCTTTATTTTTATTACATCAAATAGGACTATGAGTTACGGTTCTGTCAGTTACGGTTCTGTTATTGTGTTCCCCTTAAAAACATTTCCTGAAAAATGGAAAAAAGCCTGTTTAAACAAGGCAACAACCTAAAGAAAACTAATAACCACAATTAATAAAGTCGCTTTTTATTCATATTAAGTTCAGGCTTTTAGTTCTAGGCGCAGGACACTGCTGCTATTTTGGAACATCAATGCAGGAGTAGAAATGTTACTGACCATGGCCGTCCTCAACAACTAGGTGCAGTCCAAGGTTCTGTTCAGGTCTGAGCTGCCATAGGGTACTGGTAGCTGTGAGATCAAACACAAGCCATCCCTCATCTGAAGCCCAAACATCTTGCTGGTCCAGCAGCAAAAGCTCAGCTTCACTGAAAGAACGAAAATACAATGTGATATTTAGGAAGGAATCATCAGTTTATTTTTTACCAACCAGTTTATGTTTTAAGTTAAAATCAAATTCAGAAATACACCTTTTTAAATATACCACTTGATTATTAAAATTCATAAAAATACATTTATGTGTATTGCTGAAAATAAGTTTTTCATCAAAAAGTAATTCTCTTTGGCTTGACTGCTTTTAATCGCATGATTCTTGTTTACATACCGGTATATAAAAAGGTTTGAACACCAGAGTCGCTCTGGTGTCCACAGTTGTCCCTCTGCACCAATTTAGAGTTTTATGTCTTTTTTTCCCCCTGATAACTGCCCAGTATTTACCTCCACCCATCTTCCTGTAAACTCTGATAGGTTTCTGTGCTCATCAGAATTACAGCATGATGCTGCCACCACCAGGTCTCACTATGAGAGTGCCATGTTTAATTTAATGTGCAGCGAATGTTTTGACCAGAAAATGTTTACTTGTAGTAAATAAATTTGGATTCAGTTGTGATCTTAGCAGAGTACCAACTTCAGTAGGTATGCTATGACTTGATATGGCATGTAGTAAAAGCCAAATGTAACATCTAATGGGCCATTTTCCTAAAAAGTTTTCAAAGGCCAGTTCTATCATTTAGGTATTGTTCCACAGATTTTGAAAATCTAACAGATAAAATAACACAACATAGTTCTTGACATAGAAACCATTGCACACTGTTTTTAGTTCCAGTCTCCAAAACATTTGTACATGTTGCAGCATTACAGATCTACAAGCTCTCTAGACATCGTTAGTGTACAGTTTTGGACCAAATTCTGTGGGATTTAACTCAGATATGATTTAAATTTAGGTGGTTTGCCTGAACTGAGATTTACCTCTCAGACTCTATGTCTCTATGGCACATTTCAAAGACAATGACGTTTACAGACATCAAAGGTGGCTGCTGCCTTCTGGTCTGTCTGGGGTTATCTGTGCATGACAATGGTGTTATTTTCCCATCATCGTCAGCCTTAGTGACCCATAGTAGAGAGCTACTGGCACCACAGTGACCACCTTTTTTATGGAAATGAAGGCTTGAATTTTATTCATAAAGTTGGTTCAGCCCATAGTGAATCAGAAAAAAACATGGAAAAAAAAGAGTGCATATATGGTAGAAGTTCAACTACATTTAACGTGCATACTGTACGCAGATGATGGTTTGCTTTTTTCTATTGTTTTTTTTTTATTCAGTACAAGTTTTTTTCAAGGGTTAAATTGTATTGTAAAATTTGCGCAAGTACTATTTAAAAAAAGGAATTGGTTCATACCATTCATATATAGACCAACAAATCTTGTATATAACAGCTAAATTAGACATTTGTACTTCAGATTTTGAGCTTTTAGCTACGCTATTTTGTTGCCAAAGAATACAAATAAATATTAAAATAGTCATTCAGGGATTACTAATGTTTAATGATTAATTTTTAGCTTTTATTGGCACTGTAAGGAAACTTGCCAGGGATAGCAATTTTTTCACAAATCTGTAACTTTAGTTGGTGCAACACCTACAGACTCATTGTTTAAAGAGAGATACGAAAAAGATACACCTAATACAGGCTTCATATTACAACTTACAAAGAGAACCTCCAAAATCAGCTCATAATGCCATGATAGTTCAAAAACATCATAATAATCTATCATAAAGTCTACAAATATCATAAAGAAATAGAGAGAACATCTTCTATGACAATACAAACAAACATTGACATCCCAATTGAGTAAACATAAATAGAGGAACAATATGAAGAAAATATTCAAAGCAAATATATGTGATGTTTTATTAAAAAGGTACACAGTAAAATAATGAAATATTTATTCTGGAAATAATTCCTTTGGTAGAAATTAAATAACTTTTGCATCATTTCACTGAAGCTAAAATAAATAAAATACTAAAAGTTTGACAAAGAAATGCTTCACATTTGGTTGCTGTTGGGGGCAGGATTTATAGACTAATAAGGTGACTTCTGAGGGCACTGGATTTTATATAAGTATTTATAGGTTTCTAAACACAAATGCATGCCACACTTTTAAGATTTTCAATTGAAAATATTGTATATTTTCAACTACACTTTCAAACAAGGGTTTGCGGGACGTAGTTTTAAGTGTCTGAGATAAGTTTAGTGAGAGAAAGGTGTAGGCGAGGCTGCCAAGCTGTAAATGAAAATGTTTTACTGAGAATGTTAAGAGAGCAAACCAAAACATAGCAAACAAAACACAGAAGTTAAAGTATAAAAAATGCTGCAGAAAAACATTTGAAGGAATAACTCCATGTGTGAAAATAGTGACGTCTGAGGGGGTTCAGCTTTATTTGTGGTGTGAGCTGTCTGATGAAATTGGAGGTCTCCTGAGAACAGTCCAGTGTGGATTCAGTGCGAGCAAAAAGAAAATCGCTGTGTTTTTTACAATTAACACTAATGTCTATGTAAACATGTCAGGGCCGACACTCACGCAAGCTGAAATGTCACGTGGGCCAGACAGCTTATCTAGACCACAAGAGGATAATAGAACACACCAATCCACAACTTTGCAGCATTTTCCAGGAACTTCTCCTGGAAAATGTTTTCAATCGTTTCATTAAGCTTCAGTGATTTAAGAGATTTCTCAGCATTCTTCTTCATCATAATGGAGGTAATGAAGAAGATTTATTATACCATTCCACCTTAAAGAGCTGTAGCTCATTCATGTGCCAGAAATTAAATATATACTCATGTTAGCATTTTTTTAAGCGTGATATAAAAACCATGAAGCTAATTGGAATCAGACCGATGATGGTTATAAATCTGATATCAGGACCTGATTAAAATCCAGCTCTTTTAATCCAAAACTACAGATAGATTGAAACAATCATCAATGAAGGTGTGTCAAAAACAACATGTTTAACGCTTCAATTAGCAGGACTGTAGGAATCTTTGAAAATGTGGTGAGCAGGACAGAAAGGTGTCCTATCAGGAGAACGTTTACCTGCCAGGGGGCTCCTGGAGGACTTGGAAGACACTGACTTTGAAGGTTTCATTCCCAGCGCGCTCCTGGATGAAATTCTTGTAAATTCTAAACTCTGCCGCCGTGATGGCCTCGCCCTCCGGAATACGGGAGATATCAAACCGAAACACATGCCTGTGCAGCTGGAGCAGAGGGTCGTGGTCCAGATCAACTATCGGACAAAGAGAGACAGTCATGATAGAAGGTTTCTGATTCAAACTTCAGAAACATTTAACATCCAAATGATGATGCCACACTTGAATGTGCAGGTTTTCGTTAAAGATTACATTTAAAGCATTACAGGAAGATTTGTCAATATTCCAGTCATGACTCATCAGATTTCCCGATAAAGGAAAGCCTCCCAAAAAACTGATGCTTCCACTATCTCATATTTTCTATTTGCAGAAAACAGATTTAGCAGAACTCCATGAGATGGTCAAAGTGTAGGATATTGTGGATTTTTTAAGCATATCTAGTTTAAATTTGTCATCCCCACACAATTATGCTGCCACTACAATGCTACGGGTACGATGTGTTCTGAGACATCCAGCTTTTCATCACTCATATTCCATTTATGTCCAGTCTGATCACAGAAAATGACAATAAAAGTTGTCTAAGTCTGGGTCCTCATTATGCTTTTTCTTCTTCTGTCTAAGCTAATTCATCCCTGCAGCCTTAAATGGAAGATGAGCTGCATTTATGCCGAGATTAGATTACAAACAAATTGGCTTTATTTAGATCTGTTACTCTGATTTTTAATTACAAGATTTTTAAAAACTATGTGTAGTTTTTTCCTTTCATTTTATTGTAAAATGCATTTTCAACATATTTCTTTAAAGTATTGATTTTCCACAAAACATTTATTTTTGAAAGCTTCATGTTTTTTGTCCTAAAACCATAAACCAATAAAACAGTACCAATAAAACTTTATTTTTTCTTTATAAAATCAAAGCAAATTTTATGTATTCCATATGTATTAAAAAGTCTTGTTTTTTGAGGGGGTCATGGAGCTTTTGCAGTCAAAAGCTAACAATTTGCAACCAATTCAAAGGCAAAAACACCTCTTTGGATTGCTAACTTTGGGTGCTTATCCCAGTATTATCCTTTAAAATTCCAATAACACATTAAAATGTGTGGGAATAATACAATAAAAGGCATAATAAAAACAGTTTATAATGGTATACCAGTCAATGATAAACTTGTTTATTCAAGTTTTTCTCTGCTGGGTTTTCCTCTTCCCACAATCTTGGAAGAACTTTGTCAGAAATAGGAAAAATCCTCCTTCTATGAGTGGAATGACTAATCTAAACATCTTTTAAGTCAAGTTTCCTTTAAATATGGGGGAGATAAAAACACATCCGTGGCTTACTTTAGCTCTCTAAAATCACACACATGTGCTGACCACAATAAAAGGCCCATTCAGGCTCAGCCCGGAAAACCGCAGCAGCAAGTGCACATCCACAAAACGTATGGAAACCCACACCTATTCATGTGAGCCTTTACCGCCCGAGTCTGCTCCCACCACACCTCCGTAATCATTTTGTAATGCATCACCATGCAGTGATTTACTTTTGATTGAAGAGAAGAAAGCGGAACAGCAATAACCGGTGGCACCGCAAAGTTTCCACCCGTCCTAGAGGCAGCTGAGGATATCCAACAGTTTTCTGAAAAAGCAGGGGTCAGGCAAAGACGCAAAGGATCCTCAGGGTATCATGACATTATTGCAGTATTCGCAACCAGGTTGACTCTTTTAAGGAAGAGTGGAGATCTTTCAGACCGAGCAACTGATCATCCATCTTAAACGCATCCTTCCTTCTTGCACAAATCATAACGTCATCTTGCGTTCCCACTGATGGTTTGAGAATGTTTTAGAAGAACATTCTCCATCTTAACATGGCCCTAATGCTAAAACCCGCATTTTTTTTTTTTTATGGCACCACACAATGACTCACAGTCCTCTAAAAACCCTCTTAACAACAGAAAAACACACACATGCCACGAGCACTGTGAGTGCCGCATTCTAAACCCTGCTAGTCATTTGTTTGACCGCAATTAAATGCTGCAGGGGGAACGAGGGGTGATTTTATGAAAGCAATAATTGCTTGTAAGCACTCGGTGTGTTTACGTTTGGGCCCATTAGCTGCACAGATCAGACCTCAGATATGCAAACTTCCCTCTGGGAGACATTACAACACTACAGATTGCTCCTGACACTGCAGGGCCACACAGCAACACACAGCTGTCATTAACCTATGGCAATTTTATAGTAAATCCTTTCTCTTTACATGGTGACAAGTTTTAATATCCATTATGATTATCTATGATTTGATAATGCATGAAGTTTTGAAACTTTAATTAGTTTAGAAGCTTTAACATTCTTGATCATCACCATCAGCATTGCCAATCTTTTTTTTTTTTCTTACAAAGGATGTTTTATATTTATAAAAAAAAACAGCTATTAAATTCACCAGTCTTAAATGGAGTAATGAATGAGTAGTTTTATGGCCCCATAAAAACCTTTTTATAATCATCTTAACAAGGCAATCGGATTTTTTTCCTGCATCTGATTAAAAAAAAGAAAAAAAAATAGACTCTTCTGCAATTTGATATTATATTGTTGTGGAAATTTCCCAAGTCTGGTAGGACAGAATTTCTCCTGTCTCACAAAAGAACAGTGATTCCGTGCTTTTCTGTAACAAATAAAGGGAATCTAGCATTTAGTAGAAGCAACAAACCAAACCACACAACAGGCAACCCTAGCTCTAAGTAAAAAGACAGACCACTGGGGCTACTGCAGCTGTTGTTTTTGAGCATAACATTACTTAGGTAACAAAAAATCATTTATCTAAAATTAGCTTTTTTCTCCATCTGAAGCCAATCAAGGACATTTGACTGCAGTTTCCAGCAGAGCATTTTACCTTCTCTTTTAATTACTATATGTACAGCTTTAGCTAATACACTTTATTTAATGCCAAATAATAAATAATTGACCTGGAACATTTTAACAGCTGAATTATGCTGTGGTGGAGTTAAGCTTGCATTAATAAAGCATGAACTTATAATGTAAAGTGAGACTCTCATTGTCACATCATGGCTGCTTGAAACGAGGTGATCTGCAGACCGTTGTTTTAGAGGAATGTGATGGTGCATTCAAAGCAACAGTTTCTGCAGATGAGTTTCTATGCTTTGATTAACAGTTTCTATCACGAGGAGTCTATTAATCATTTTGGTGTACTATGCTGACTGTTAATCACAAAGAGCTTTAAAACATTTCCATAGGGTGTTTGTTTATCAGGTGTCCAAACTACTGATTACTTTTTTCTATGACTTCACCATAACTTCTCATGTCTAGCTGCTTTGGATGCCACTATATAAAATCATACATCTGTGAATTGCATTAATTAATATATCATCTGAAACAAACTGTGGAGTGATTCTGTTCCGTTGGCAGATATCCTATTTAGAGGGTCTTGAAATGATTGCAAAGCCACCAAAAACAATGCCTTTAACAAAAGAAGGTACAGAAAACAGCTGGGCAAAGTGGGCCAAAAAGAGAAATACTACCCACCCACAGTCCTTTTTTTCTTCCTTTTTCTTCCCTCTGCTTCAGAACTCTTCAAATGTGAAACCGCATGAATCTGCTTTGGTGTTTAGAAACATGTTTCCACTTCTCATTAGCTAAAGTAAAAGTTCATAACTAAGGATATGGTGGATGAGACGTTCTGTTCTTGCAGTGTCAGATGATTTTACAGTGGACTACATGTACTTGTGCTGAGTAAAACACGTAGGTTTAAGCACATTAATATAGGGGATATAAAACTAGCTTTAGTCTCTCCACCGGGCACACGCCCCGAGGCAGAATTCCTGGTGTAACAAAACAATTACAAACACCATACTGCCTGCTGTTTCCCTACAGAGACTTCAGAGCTTTCCACTCCAAGGCAAGCAAGTGGAATTCCTCCCTTTATTAAATCAATACCATTTCAGTTACCCCGACTTTCTATCTTTCATTTATGATCACAAAGTATCAGAACACACAGTGCATAAAAACAGCTGTGAGAAAATCTATGAGGGCCAAAAAATACCTGTTTAAATAAAAGCTAAGCATAGAAATCAGATACTTCTTGGAAACCTTAATGTTTTGTTACAAAGAGAGGGACCCGAAAGTGTCTAAAAAGAAGAAACCACTATAAAAAAGCTACAAATGAAAGTACACTTTTCTTCAATTAAACTGTTTTATATATCAATAGGATAATAAAAATGGTCTGGCTCTATTACTTTTGAAATTAATTTAAATTTATCTGCACAAGAGCTCGCAAACCATCCAACATCATCAAATATTAAGACGCAAGAAAGAAGCTGTGTGTAAAAAACTAAGTAAGGTTTAGTAAGTTTACTAAGAAAGGGAACAGGAAGCTGCTAACTGAAAACCACCACATACAATGAAAGCAAATATCGCTTTGATGCCAAGAATGAAAAGAGACAAGGATCCTACAGAAGCAACTGTTTCCTCCCAATAAATCCGGAAAAGGTGTCTCACCTTTGGTACTGATAGAGAAAAATGTTTAAAAGTAGATAATGTTTTGATACCAAGATGGACATCCCAGCATCATCAGGAAGCTCAAACTATGTGCATACTTAGCATGTTAAATGTTTAAATCAACTATAATTATGAGGAATTTAAAAAAGCCTGAAATAGAGATATTTTGACAAGTAACTGTTGTATAACTATGAACCATTAAATCACTGGAAAAGTACTAATAGGACTCAAAAATGAGGAGATTTGTGCATAATACAAAGAGCCATCTTTGATTAAACTCCTAGCAAAGTCTAAATACCTCATTTTATTCTTAACCACGGTGGTGGGACCGAAGCTTAGTCATGGGGCACCATCTTCTCTCTATATCAAAGACTTTTAAAGTAGAAGACACATGCAGAGCTGCTGCAATGGTGACTAACAAACCATTGCAGCAGCAAACAGCAAACAACTTAAGAAAATAATAGATTGAAAAGGCACTGCAATAACTCTAGAACTCTACAATCGCATTTGGATCTTAAAAAAAACAAGATGAATGTTCACAACTCTGGATTAAATGAAACAAAGTTGGAAAGACAAATGGACCAAAATTCATAATCAAAGTGACGGATGAAAGATGATTAGTTCTGTTTATTGCTGTTAAAGGTGGTTCCAGAAGCTACAGAATTTTGGCTGTAAGTTTTCCAAACATGACTTTAAAAGTTTCATTTTGAAAATTAATACTGTAAAATATGTAGTTTTGTGTTTTGTTATTACTTCTGGTTAGATTTTAAAAATTTTAGAAGCTGATTGCAATATTAATGACGTTTATTATGACCCTAAATGTAAAAACTATAGATTATTTTTTTTTATCTCTTAAAGGATGAGGTTTAATATTAAAGTTTGATTTTATACTATGAAAATACATCAGTTATTTAATGAAGTTACTCCCATTATTTAGACATTATTTCTTACAGCAGTGTAAACTCACTGAGGTTGACAAAGCTCATCACCGTGTCTGCGTCGTCCAAGAAGCGGCTGTCTAGTGGACTCACCACCGCTGAGGCCTGACCCTGTAAAACCTCTCTGTACTGGGAGTATCTGCGCGCCTCTGCCTCCGTGGAGATGGTGTTGTACAGGTCCAGCATGAACATCGGAGCTGCGTTGTGTTTGGTGTGAGCGTGCGGCCGCGGCCGGTGCGGCAGCCCCAGGATGGAGAGGATCTCCCGCTGAATTTCCCTGCGCTCTTGGCTGCGCAACCTCCTTTGGATGAAGCTCGAGCGCACCTCGTTGTCCACGGAGAAGTTGGAGTAGGAGACACGCGTGGCCGGCACGGAGGAGCACCAACCCGACAGCAGGAACAGAGCGGTCGTCACGGCGCTCGCCAGCATTTTTGATCTATTTTATTTATTTTTACGCACGGCTCTAGCCGGTTAGAAGGAGGCGCTGGAGATACGACCAGCTATCCAGGCTAGTTTCTGGCATGTGGGGAGAGTAAAACACGCCTCCCACTATCAAAGCAGGGTGTCATTCATTCATAACTCAGCGTTACGCAGCGCCTTACCGGGATCCAGCCGTGCGCCTCTCTGACTGCGAAATGAGAGAGGAGTTTATGTTTCTCTGCGTTAGGGGAGGAGCAGGAACACTTCACAGGAGTTCATACCACGCTGAAAAAATAAACTTTTAACTAACAAAATAATGCTTTTTTTGTAGTTTAATGACTGTATATAATGTGTTGGTATTAGTTCAGTTTAACAAATAAAACAAATGATATACATACTAAACTATAATTGTTCAATTCTATTTTTCTTTTTTTGTTTATGTGGCTGTTCTTCCCACCTTAAATTAGACAGAAAGAAAGAACTCGTTTCTACTATAAGCAAATATAGATGACATGCATTTAATAATTGCCTTTAATAAAATTGCATGCAAACCATCTCCCGAAATTGTGGACTATAGTCTTGATAAAATGCTAATCAAATTCATAATATTGGAATGACATCACGCCCTAGTTGGTTGTAGATGGGGTGGGGGGGTGACGTATATGCCTTGATGTTTGACAGCTCCTTCTAAATAAGACAAAAAATGTGAAAAGTAAATAAAATATTGTGTAATCTTTCACTTACACTGAACTGTGAGCTTAACCACACTGAGGCTCGCATTTAACTACTGTCTTTTGACATTGCCAATAGAAATTCAGACTTTAGGGGCATAATTATCCAACTGTAAACTCATTTAATCCGAATTTTGAGTTTTAGTAAACACATTTTACTAAAGGTAGCCTTTAAATCAAAGTTATAGTTTAGGGGAGCACTGTTGCTGAATAAAGAAAATCCAACCTGAGCTCAAAGTGAATGCACCCTGCTGTCTTTTTCAAACCGTAAAAAACTGTTCTACTTTTTTATTGAGTTAAAATACTTATAAATGGTTAAATCCTTGCAAACATATCATCCTTTCCACATTGTATCGGAAACACTAGACAAAATGAGAAAAAAAAAAGACTACATAAACATCATTAAAGGCAAATCAATATCAATTGGCACAAATACAACTTTATTTTTGTGTAATCAAAAGGTTATTACAGAGTACATTAAGAAAGTTAAAATAATAATCTTAGATCATAGTTGATATCCTTTTTATATTGCAGGTAAAAGAAGCATGGATGGAAGACATAAAGTGCTCTTTATCATATAGATGGGAGTGGACCTTCGATATTCCATTGTAGGCTAATGCCGGTTTGCAATTTGGATAAGATTGTCCAGGTGGAGATTAAAGCAGTCTCTAAGTGGATCAGCCTTTATTTATTAACTGTCTTAAAAATCCTTTCTTTTACATTCAAGGTATTGAGGCCAATTCTTTCTTAAAACCCTAATTGTCTTATTCATACGGTGCTTAAGTTGTCGTTTAGAATCTGCATTGAGAAAAGGCAAATCCCATGATCCCTTTTACAGCACAGAAATTCTTTGAACCTAAACAATAAAAGATGGCCCACCCTAATTGCTGAGTAATCAGCAGTAGTCCAGGTACATGATGGGACACGCCAATCTCCTTTCAAAGAGGAGCTGAAACTGTTACTGCACCACTCAAAGCACTAGTTAGAGAAAGAGGACTTTGCAATGAGTGAGACCAGCTTTACTTTGGCTTAAGGAGAATATAATAAGTAGACTGCTGCTATTTTTAGTGCTTCAGCATATTACAACTACAATTGTAATTGCATTTTATTAATATTGAATAAGGTTGATAAAAAAAAAAGAGAATGCATAGTTGTAAAGTTGATAAACATGTCTTCCAAACTGATTTAACAGATAAATGTTGGATAGTGGGTATATGCATGTTAACAGCAGCTGCAAGCATTTTTTGTAATGTTTTTATTGGGTTTGCAAGGATTTTTTTGTGACAATATTCTTATGAGAATATGTCTCGTCAAGCTGAAAGGCAACCATAAATATCTATTTTTCTCAACTGGGCCAAATGCTTTGAACTGCATTTTCTATTGCAGCTCTTGGTAAAGGTGGAAAGGGTGCTTACCTGTAGAAAAACCAAATGAAAGAGAAACAGGAGAAAAGGAAAACTACAGTGTATACAATTGAAAATGTCTACTAACTAAGCTTGGTACATCTCTACTACTGCTTACACGTGCAAGACCATAGCTTTAAGCTCATTTTAACATGATTTATACAGTGTGCATGTATTTTTTTTTCTGCAGTTTATTCAAATAACTTTATGTATATATTACAAATTGTATAACTTCCTTGTATATTATAAGTTTTGTCCTTTTGTCTTTGTCAATTTTGTTGTGACACTGTTCATTGCTGTTTATATGTGCTACTGTGACATGTGGATTCCCTCAACGTGGGATGAATTGAGTTTATCATTTAAAAGTCCAATACTATTTTACATTTGAAAATGTAAAATATTAAAGACGAGGCCCCGAGAGCCAGCTTTTGCTGTGTGTGTGCAGAAAAATGTATCTCAGATTAGGCAGACAACCTCCCAAAAATCTCCTTATTCAGCCCTCCTCTGGCCAGGCTGTTTTGGCTTTCCATGCCCTCTTCCTCACTAGGGCCACAACCCGCAACCATGACAACCAGTCAGCGTTCATAAAGATTTCCTGGGAGCATTGAATAATACATTAGATGAAGGCCATAGCTTGACCTATGGGCTGCTGCAGACTATTTCCCATAATGACATCATAAGGGGAAAGCTTTTCAAACAGAGTATTTTGAGCACACATTAGCTAATAGGCGAAAGGCAATGATAGAGATTACTTTTTTTTATTTGTGAACCTCTTACACAGACTTTAGGACACACATGACAAAATGTTTATCAAGTGAATTTGGCATAATATGAGACTTCTAAATGAGGGAACTAAAATTTGTGTTTGTTTCACCAATTTTTAGCATCCCTCTCTATTGTAAAATTCAGGTTAAGAGTTAAGATGAAATTCCTAGAGGGTTGGTTAATCCTTGAATGTGAAAAAGCAAATTGACAAATAAATTAAATGATGTCATTGTCCTGACAATGTGAATACAGAGACATCAGTTAGTTGCATTTAATTTTGATCAGGGGTATCATCAGTTTAAAAGGGACTAAAAAACAAACAAACTTAACACATTAAAAATATTATTCATAAAATAATCAGAAAATTACTATTTTAATTTTACAATTATATAGTACTTTTTATTGGTCTGTCATGTGTACTGCCAGAAAATATCCCTCAGTGTTTTTATATGCTTTTTAAAAAAGCCTCCTCCAGGTAATTTTCAGGAATAGCATCCAAGTTCACTTAAATTACACCAGGAGACATTGGAAACCCAAAGATTTTTATCACAGCACCTGAATGTCAGAGTATATGACTCATTGCTGCAAACTCAAATAAATTCTAGGTGGACACAAACATTCGTAAACCTTAGTTCCCCTTCAAAGAGCAATTATTTAGGTCACCGGTCTCTCTATGGCGGTTAAATTATCCTTATATGTAAACATACAAACTTGAACAATGGAAGTGAGGTTTTCTATCTTTTTTCTGTGATTTAAAGAACAGTCTTTATTTTACCTACTGCTGTCTTTAGGATTAACAAAAAAGGAGATG